AGAGAGAGAGAGAGAGAGAGAGAGAGAGAGAGAGAGAGAGAGTTATGGGGGCAGGGGGAAGGTAGAGGGCGACGAAGAGGAGAGAAGGAGGAGGAAAAGAGACAGAGAAGAAAACTAAATACAGTAAATATTGAACTATTAGAAGAAAAATAAATACGGTGAAAATAAAAAGGTGAAGAAGAAAAAAGAAGATATATATTATGATTACCGATATACCGACTCGTAATTTATAAAATTAAATAGGCTGTATAGACGTCGGAATATAAATAATAAAATAATAAATAAACACATAATAAATAATAAGAAAAAGGCAAAGAGACAGAGACACATTTTTTTATCAAAATGAATTATTCTGTAACAAAAATTTTTAAAACCTGCTTTTTATGTACACCTAAATATTTACAATGTCCAAGTTCAACGTATAAAGTTATTAAGAAAGAAACTCGTTTTCAGTGTTTAATATTATTTTGTAAAAAAATGTGATATAAAAACAAAATTACTTTTTCAGAAAAAGTAAAAAAAAGAAGCCAAGTGGACGCACGTTAGCATTATTTGTCTTTACAAAAAAAAATCGTTATAAATAAATTACAATAAAAGCTCAGCTAAAAGATATTTAAAAAAAAATATTATCAAAACAACCTTATTCAGATCAATTATACTCTCGCAAATACTCTATTAAAAAATACAAGACAATTTTATTCTCTAGAAAAGTAATGATATCAAGAGGTGTACGCCAAGTACGAATAATTAATCATTTCAGTTTTTACTTTTATAAACATATCTGGTTTTGACTATATAATATATTTATAAATTAAATATATTATTAATATATTAGTAATATATTATTAAATAAAAGATAAAATAATTAGAGAAGTACAATAATATCGAAAAAAATTATAATAACTTACACAAAAAGCACTTTTTTTAATATTACATCGATAATCAATATAATATTTTGATAGTTATTAAAATAAGAGAACCGTTTGCCTAAAAAAAAGGCACGCCAAGTGTTTTTGTGTACGTTATTATAAATTTTTTCAACATTATTGTATTTCTCTAATTATTTTATTTTTTATTTAATAATATATTACTAATATATTAATAATATATTTAATTTATAAATATATAGCCAAAACCACATATGTTTATAAAAGGAAAAACTGAAATGATTAATTATTCGTATTTGGCGTACACCTCTTGATATCATTACTTTTCTAGAGAATATAAAATTGTCTTGTAATTTAGTAAATATCGACTAATGAAAATATTATTTTTGTATCTATATATTAATACTTTAAAGACGCATAGCTTATAAACTATTTTTATTACTTCGATTTAAAAATAATAGATAACAAATTGAAATTTAGCCTATTAATTAGTATTGTTCAAATAAGTAACGTTAAAAAGACAAATATTGCGATGAGTAATGTCTGTTTGTAATATTTATAATAATTATCATAACTTGACAAAAGTTCAAGTTCATATTTGTCAAATAACTGGAGAGGACATCCTGTATCAACGGATCGTCCTGCACACGTCCATAATATATATGCATCATGCACGCACGCACGCGCGCATACTACACATACATACACACACACAGTACGCTTGTCCATATCTGACACTTACTAAGTCGCTATACGTCGTTGCTTTAAAAGTCCTGTCGCTAGCCCTAGACGTCGTCGTCGCAATCCTGCTTCCTGACGACGCGCGCCGCCCGAGGATGATGGAGCCCAAGAATGTCATCGACTCTCACCGCCGCATGATGCTGCCCGCCATGCGCGACACATCCGGGCATCTAGGTTACGTATGTACACGCACGCAAGCACACATGCACGCACACGTGTCACAAAGCCAAAGAAACAGTCGTTTTTGACATGTCGATATGACCCATCGATGACAGTAACGATTGACAGGAGGCACAGCGTTCGCGGAACGAGGCGACAGATAGATATCACGTCGCACGAGCGAGCGAGACACCCAATGCGCGCACATACACTATATTCACGCACACTCACTCACACGTAACATCGAAAAATCACCGACAACGACAAGAACGCGTTCCGCGTCGCACTGGCTAGACTGCTTGCTCACGGACTCGCGCGAACGAACACTCCCGAGGACAACGACTTCCCCCACCAATCGTGCGCGTTCGACCCAGGTGTACTCATCCCTCTTCCACACCTCCCTCGCCCATTCCTCGCTGTTCCATTCCGAACCCCACACACCGCGCGTACGACCTTTTCCGTTCTGCTGCTTCATCTGCTACCCGAAGCTATATATTTCTCTCTCTTTTCTCTCTCCTGCATTTAACCCAACCAGCAATTCCTCTCTTTCTCCTATTCCTCTCTTCTCCTCGTTCCCCCTTCTCTCCCCTCCTCCTCCTCTCTCTCCTCTCTCTCCCCCCTCTCTCTCAATGTTCTAATGTTCTAATGTGTGTATGAAATATAATTATATTTAATATTTATTATATATTTATTAGCGCGTGCGGGTTTGCATTCACATGTGATAAACGTTTTATTCCATCTCTTTTTTCCCTCTCTTTCTTTCTCTCTCTTCTCTCTCTTCCTCTTTTGCTCGCTTTCTCCGTCTCTCTCTTATCTTACTGTCCTTCATGTCCTTCAGTCTTGCTCCCTTCACGAGCGGACTCCTTCCACGAGGCTTAAGGGACGTCTACATTGGAAGTAAGCAGTAAGAAGTAGGAAGTAAGAATAAGAAATTGACCAATCATAGTTGATTATTCTTTTCACATTCGACTGTGGTTGGTCAATTTCTTACTCTTATTTCCTACTTCTTGCTATTTACTTCCAATGTAGACGTCCCTTTACTCAACCCTTGCGTTCATTTTCCTCCTACTACCCTACCTCGCAGACACCGCCGATAAATGCGTCGCCTAATTTATGCCCACCCAATCTTCTGTTCGTTCTCCTTCTCATATTGCATTGCCTGGCGTCGTGTTGATCAACGTGGAAGAATGACGATCAAGCAGCGGAGTACAGTTGCCAGGACGAAATGCGCAATTGCAGCGTTCTTTCTTTGTATTTCTAAATTTTCTTTTACTGATGTTCAAATCTTTAATCTTAAAAAGATTTTTTTGAATATGCGCTCTTCTCGAACGGCTAATAGTAACACTAAAAGACACAAATATCCAAGTTTAGATACTACGTCTGTCGTACAATGTTCTGTGAAGAAGCAATGTAGGAAAAGCGAAAAAGTACAAGTGAAAGTGGGAGAAAGAATGTGTGCTGGTATATATGTGATGTGCCTGCGTACATGCGCGCGCGTATATATGTATAAATGCGTATATATGTATGTATGTATAAAAATATGTATTTGTTTGCTTTCTATAAATTAGGCAATCAGACAAAAAGAATAATATAGCTCTTTATTATCCTTTTTTAGTAATACTAACTTCTTTCCTCTAACAAGAATACGTAGTCTAATTCTGTAGTCTAATTCGTAGTGAATCTATATTCACACGGGAGCGCACTATTATGTTATATTTCTTTCTTTGTTCCTCTTCATGTCTCGTTCGATTTCATTTTTTTTCCTTCTTCCATTCTGTCTCTCTTCTGTACTCAACTGTTACTTAGATCTACATCTATTTCTAACCTCGCTCTATATCTTTTCCTTCGCTATATATTTTCGTAACTGTCATTTGATATATTGCTTGATATATTTCTATATTTTCCTAGTATATGACGCATATGCAAGCGTTCTTATGTAGATTTATTAATGAAATGAAAGAATCAACATCGAAAGAGAAAAAAAGAGAGCAGCACCAAGAAAACAAATCAAGGATAAAGTAAGAGGGAGGGGAGACACGGAATCTTTTCCGTTAATCCTCACCTTCGACGACGAGCGCGAACCATTATCCAGAAACATTGCGTCATGGATTAGTTTGATTATCGACATGCGGCGGCGCCGAGGCCGCGAGCAATTTAATTATGGAAACAGCATACTACGAAGGACGAGTCCGCGATATCCAATTAGTTTCCACGGGTTGCTACTGCTGCTACTGCTGCCACTGCTGCTAGTTCGTATACTCTTAACTACCAATTCTAACTACAAGATAGAAAGACTAATTCTTGATAACTAATATTGGTCAACAATATTGGTCAACTATGTGTTGACTTTTAATGATCGACGTTTTGTATGTTTACACAATACCTTCCCGAAAAAAATTATTTCATACAATAATCATATAAAAATATATATGATTACATATAATTATAAATGAGTTTTTTGTCTATATATATGACATTACATATGGCCATATTTAATTATATATGACCATGCATAAAACAAATACTGTTAAATAAAAAAAAGGAAAACATAATCTGATATAATTAAACGACATCATTAGCTACCATTAATATACACTGAGAAAAAAATTTACTAAATTAAAAAAATGTTTGTTTGGATAGTACTGTGAAGATATTTGTTTAAATTAAGTAATTATTTTCTTAAAAATTAAATAAAGAAATTTTAAATATAAATTTGTTTCTTTAATTTTAGAAAATAATTACTTAATTTAAACAAATATCTTCACACAGTACTATCCAAACAAACGTTTTTTGAAATTTAGTAAATTTTTTTCTCAGTGTAAGCATTTATTTTAATTGTATTTTCACAACAGCATTCTTTTCACTGTGGAAATATATAAAGTATTCCAGAACAACCTTTGAAGCTTTCGTAAAGGCAAATTAGAATTCAGATAAACATAAAAGTCCTATACTACTTTGCGATATTCGCAATAATTATTGAGATATTAATTAAATAAGGTTGGTGAATAATCACGCGAGATATGGTAAATGAGCTGTAGTGGCACCGTCTGTCGTTGTATAAATTAGATCAAACTGAATAAAGAAGTCTTCTGTCATTTTGCAAATGACCCCATAGATTTTTATATATTACCCTTATAGAAATATCATACTAAGAATCATTGATAATTACTTATTTTCAGTATTAAAAATACTGGATAATAAGTAATTATCAATGATTCTTAATATGATATTTCTATAAGGGTAATTAAAAAAGATTTGTATATTATCGCGCATAATCTTGTAACAATTTTCTTTCATTAAGGTAGTATTCATTAAGGGAGTGTAGTCGGTTCAAAAAATCGATTTGTTTATTACATTTTTTTAAAGTTTGGGATCTTGAAAATATGTTCCTAAAATATTAAGACGAAATTCGTAAAATTACTAGAACTATAAAGATTTCAAAAACGCGGCGCCCAAAAGTAACGCGTCGATAATTTTTTACGCGTCAAATATTATTCTATGACTATATAATAGTTCTCTCATTCTTTTTTTTTTACAATTATCGAACATATAACCATTTATTAAATTCAATCATTAATTGAAGCGAGCAATTTGTGTTCCTGTACAATATCGCCTGTTTCGTGGAGTAGTTTATCGATGCTAATGGTTAAGTTATATAAATTCGCATAATTCTGAAAGCTCTTCTAATAAATAACATATGTTTACATCGAATTCATTAATAACATACTCGTGATCATTGTGTATTATTGCTTCAAGCGACTTAAGGAGGTATTCTAGTGTAAAGATTCATTTTCAAGATCGGATTTTTAGAATTAATTTTAAACAAATGGTTAAACCTATAGAGTTAATGTTTTGTACTTTTGTTTTGTACTTATGTTTTATTGATATTTATTCATCTTTGAAGAAACATTTCAAGTTTCTTCAAAGCTTTTTATTTAAAACTGAAGAAAATACAAGTGGATGAAACAAATCATACTGTCTTCCATCGGGCGTGTTGATTGCCACCATCCTCGTCGTCTGAAATAAACAAATTTGCTTTTATTTTGTTCTTTATGAATATGGCTATCGCCCAAACTAGAATCTTTTTGATATGTTTAAAATTACTATTTTTCTGGACCGCGAAAAGTTAGAATTTTTTAGTAAAAATCAGACTATTATTTTTCAAGCGCCGTCAATTTTTCTTCAAATTATTTCATTCTAGTTTGAGCGATAGCCATATTCATAAAGAACAGAATAAAAGCAAATTCGTTTATTTCAGATGACATGGACGGCGACAATCAACTTGTCCGATAGAAGACGATTTTTCGTGACTATTTCGTCCACTTATATTTTCTTCAATTTTGAAAAAAGTTTTGACAAAATTTGAGATGTTTCTCCAAAGATGAATAAATGTCAGTGCAAAACATTAACTCTGTAGGTTCAACTATTTGCTTAAAATTAATTCCCAAAGATCGCCTTGAAAACGGGCTTTCACACTAGAATATCCCCTTAAAAAAATGCGTCAGAAGAACTAATATTCTAGATAAAAATAGTAGAAGGCTTTGCACCCTTATAGAAATATCATACTAAGAATCATTGATAATTACTTATTTTCAGTATTAAAAATACTGGATAATAAGTAATTATCAATGATTCTTAGTATGATATTTCTATAAGGGCAACACATGTGTTTACAATATTCGCTAGACGTTTGACATATTGTTTTCTTATCTCTTTCGATTTTTCTAAGAAGACATTTGTTATCTCGACTTATTATTAAGAGAATTTAATATAGTTTTGATTGTCGAATCAGACATAAGCGTGCAGTAAAAATATTTAACTTAAAGCGAGTGAATTATTTAAAATGAATAAAAAAGGAACAAAGACAAAGCTTGTGTACGCGGACTATAAGAGAAAGCAATACTGTAGAAGTAATCGACACACTGCTGAGGAAAATACGAATTTTAGTAGGACGTCAGCTGCGAAACTTCGAAGTAGAAAAGATATAGACGTTACTATTTCGAAAGAATTTGACTACTGCATTTTGAATTTATTTTTGGTTTTTTCGACAATTTCTTTTAGTGTAATTTGCAAAATTTATAAAAATAAAATAAAGTTTTATCAGACCAGTAGTCGTGGCTTAAGATTTAAAATTTCAATGCAATGCAAGTGCGGTGAATAGCTAATTAAATCGTATCCGTTTACTGACAATGCGTTCGAAATCAATGCGTTGATTCGTATTAGTTATGTGACTCTTGGGAATTTGCAGAGAAGGGATTTTATTTTGTGACTTGATGGATATTGGTCAGGGACTGGCTATCAAAACGTACTACCCTTATAGAAATATCATACTAAGAATCATTAATAATTACTTATTTTCAGTATTAAAAATACTGGATAATAAGTAACTATCAATGATTCTTATATTATATTTCTATGAATATGAATGATTCTT